CTATTGAGACTGTCTGAAAGCTGTGTGTTGCGTTGATGCAAAATGTTCATGTAAAAACGGGAGCTGTGCAGAGATTGCCTAGGTGTGTGTGTGTGTGTGTTGTGTACGCGTTGCTCTTTGTAAGGATCATTGCATCATTTAGGTTAGAATTTTTACATTTTTTCGTTGTAAAATGGTTTCACTCTTGTAGTTTTATCTCTTTCTCTCTATCTCTCTGTTTCTCTCTTTCTATCTATCTTTATATATACACACATGCATACATACATTATCTGTATACACACACACACAAACACACACACACACACACACACACACACATATATATATATATATATATATATATATATAGTGTGTGTGTGTTGTGTGTGTGTGTGTGTGTGTGTGTGTGTGTGTGTGTGTGTGTGTGTGTGTTTGCGCGCGCGCGCGTGTATGCATTTGCATGTGTGAGCAATAATGTGATTTTTCGGGTTGTGCAATGGGGTCACGCAAAGGAATGCATTGCGGTATGCAACGGTCTCTCACTCTGAAGGTCAAAAAAATGAGGCGGGGAAAAAAATACGATTCGAAAAGACCATTAGAGAAAATTTTGGTGTAGCACCGTTTTACATTTTCTCTAAAGTTTTTTTGTTGTTTTTTTCTCGTCCCATTTATATATCAAATACGTCTCTCCCCTCAGCCGCGCCCGTGAAGCGAAGGGAGTGAGGTGAAGTTTCCGTCTGTGAGGAAAGAGTTACAAGGACATCTCAACCGCTTTAGGAGTATGACGTCACAGTTTCGCCATTGCAGTGACGTCACCGATGGCGTCATGCATTCTCTGGGTTATCGGGCCGTCCTCACGTACACAGGAAAGCGCATGAGATGAATTATTATACAGATACTCCTTTTTGTCGGATAGTTGGGTTTATATATTTTCTTAATAAGGTGACTGTAGTTATTACGACACTGTTGGGTATTTATATCTGTTTGTCAGGGTTTTATATGTATCCACATTGTGTAGGAATGATAACCCAGATGTGCGTGATTGAGCAACACGTTCTGAAGTTTTCTTGGTTGAATGACCTTAAAGCACACACGTACAAACTCACACTCAGCATATATCTACAGATGTGATTCTATACACTTGATACAAACATCAACAGGAATCCGAAGCCAAGGATAAAGGAATCGGTGACAAGAGTGACTCTCATCCGCCGTGTTTCAACTCTTGCTTTCAACTGTACTTCCATTCATCCAATTTTCACAGACAGATGGAAACGAAATAAAGAGGCAGTCCTCGTAGCTTCGTAAATACAAGCACAACAGACTACGAAACAAACACGAATACAAAAATAAAAACACTGGGGATATTAACCAACCCGGATTTAAAAGGAAGCTGAGCCGAACTGTTCGTTTTTTTTTTTTTTTCTTTCACTCTTCGAAACACAAAACGACTGACTGACTGACTGACTGACTGACTGACTGGCTGTGACCTGATCTCGGGCTAAACTGATGGCAGGTTTCTCATGCCACTTTCATGATATACTTGTTCTTACCTGCCTGGCCTATCTCTCTATCTCTGTCTCTTCGGCATTACATGACATTAAATATATATATATATATATATATATATATATATATATATATATATATATATATATATATATATATATATACATATATATACATAAATATAGGCCTATATACATACACACATACACACACACACACACACACACACACACACACACACACACACACACACACACGCACATATATATATATATATATATATATATATATATATATATATATATATATATATATATACTTATTTATATATATATATATATATATATATATATATATATATATATATACATACATATAGGGAGAGAGAGAGAGAGAGAGAGAAAGAGAAAAGAGACAAACAGAGAGAAAGAGAGAAAGATAAAGTCAGAGAGAAGGTGAAAGAGACGTAGACAGAGTGAGAGAGGAAGAGGCAAGCATAATAACATCCGGAGCAGATAAAGATTAAAAAAAAAAAAAATCTAATGTTTTAATATTACATCAGTTTCCGAAGGACATGAGGAAAGTGGCAAAATAAACACGAGATACATAAATCGGAGAAATAATTCATATTTATCATTAATCTAATTTCACAAATTTTTCACAGGTTTATCTATTCGTGGCCGAAAGAGAATTAAATAATGTATGAGTTATCATTTGCCCTTCCCGTGCTGTTTTTTTATTTTTTATTATTGTATATTTATCTATTTATATTATATATTTAATTAGTTATTTTACTTTCATGTGAGTACTTTACGGTTTGTGATTAAAACAAAGGTAATTTAGCACTATGGTATGGTACTGTGGCGAAAAAGGGTAAAACTGAGTTAACGATTAAAATGAAGTAGACAGAAGAAAGGGATGGAGAGAAGGAAAAGGAAAGGGGAAGAAGAGACCGTGTAAAATTAGTTGGGGCCAATTAGGGTCAAATGCCCCCCCCCCCACGGCAACAACGAGCAAGGGACTGGGGGCTAATACCCACAAGGCAATATAATGATAGATAAACGTTTAAAATAATATGCAAATCATTAATAATTTATTTTACCCGTGCTGTTGATTTATTATCATTATTGTTATTTTTTTTTTATTCATATTTACTCATTTATTTTACTTTCGTATGGGCATGTGAATTTAATTCACTGACGTAACCACTGTGCCTGTCTAAAGCACGGCCATATATATATATATATATATATATATATATAAACACACACATATATATGTATATATATATAGATATAGATAAATAGATAGACACACATATATATGTGTGTGTCTATCTATTTATCTATCTATCTATCTATATATATATATATATATATACATACATATATATGTGTTCGTGTATGTATGTATGTATATATATATATATATATATATATATATATATATATATATATATATATATATATGTATATATATGGGAGGATGGGGCTAGTTGTCACAAAAATTACTCAACAAGCCATAATTTCTTAGATGTATGAATTAAATCAAACAGTGTATGTTATTTATAAATCTTATTTGCCTGTTTACCAAAAATGCCCAGTAGATTGTAATTATTGATGTTCAGTAAATATATTTTTTTATTTTGATTGTGACAACATGCCCCAGCGATGGGGCATGTTGTCTCAGGTCACGGGGTAAGTTGTCACCACAGTAGAAGATATATCTAGCATAATATACCCCCCCCCCCCAAAAAAAAAAAAAAAAAAAAAAAAATCAGGCCCTTTTAAAAGTTTAATGTCACACTGTTTTAAATCCAGCCAAAGCAGGAAAGTGGAAATCAAAAGTTTTTGCAGCTCTGTTTGTCTGACCAGTGGTTGGGTAAGGCAGCTTCATAATTAGCCTATTTTCTTAAGTTTGTTGGCAAAAGCCAGTTTGAAAGCTAGTACCTGCAGCTCATCTATGGTGATCCCATAAAAAATAGCAGCTGCTTTTTTAATGTAGTTAACAAGATCCCTTTCCATTCTCTCACTCAAACACAACCTGACTTTCTTGTAACCAATAAGAACTTGCTCCAAAGTGCCCTTTTCTTCCCATTTCTGCAAGTAACGAGCCAAAGTACGATCATTAATATCATGGGCAACTGCAGCCTTGCGTATGCTCATTCCATTTTTCACTGACTGAATTGCTGCATCAAAAGTTTCTTTTGGTAGTTGCCCTCTGGTTGTCTTTCGCTGATAATTTTGCACCGTCTAAAAAATAAATAAGAATATACAATAAGGTACTGGTTTGGCATGGTTGTGATGAACCAAATCAAAATTTAATCACTCTGATGAAAGATATCTAATCTATTTTTAAATATTTGTAAACACAGTAGTTCATAAATAACCATGGGGCAAACTGTCACAAATTTGTGACAACAAGCCCCAACGGTAGCCAACCATTATTTATGCCCATATTTTCGATTAAAGTCGAAAATGATCTCTGAAAGCACACATATAACTGTAATAGAGCTGTTGTACATGAGTAAACCATAACAAAAATATACCTTTTTCCAAGAGTAGACAAATCGTGTTCAATCTTCAACATTCGAGGCTGGCTTGATAACTTTCCACACCACACAAGAACAAAATGTCGGCTGGTATGAACTGAAAGCTAACATGAAGTACCTCACCAGGCGACAACTCTCATTCAAATCACAAACCATTCTTAGGCTGTGTTTACACCAAGCGATTCGATTCGATTCAATTCATGGAGAATCATCCCAATTCACGATTCGTCTTGATTCGCCACGTTAAATTCAATGGAATCCTTTACACCGAGCGAATCGAGTCAATTCAAATCATGGCCATTCAGAATCACTGATTTTTTCATCAGTCAAGGCGAATCAGCCGAGCAGGAAGCATCATGCAAGTGGAACTCCTCATCAGTTTAATGCAAGAACGACGTGCTATTTATGATCCTAGTGATCCTGTGCACCGTAATCGTGATGTACTTGCTGCGTTATGGAATGATATTGCTACAGAAATGAAATGCAAAGGTAAATTTAAAAATTTTTATTTAAATATATTAGGCTTCTATTACAGTAGAAAATACATGTACTGCACTGAGCTATAAAAGAGATTGCTGTACTAGGCAATATTATTTTGCCTATTAAAAACAACAACAGAGCGTTGTGAATATGGTTGGATACTTTTATTTAGCAACTGTAAGGCATATTGTCTACTTTTCAAATGTGTGATATAACGTAACCGCCAGCCAGCTAGGCACCAGGCAGAGTAGAGGGTGGGGTGTAGGCTACAGTTCCTATTATTAACAGTTGTCTCTGATTTCGTTCACTAATGTTCACATGATGTTCTTCTAAAAGTAAATGGTAATATGACAAAATAGGAATAACATAGCTGCCTATAATTATTTTAATATTATCCTCCGTTTACAATACGTTAAATCTAACTGCAGAGTTGATATGGTATGAACTGGTGTAGCCATTTCTTCTGCGGTGAATATATGCATCAGTGGATGTTTCTGTCCTGCCACTCGACAGCTCCACCTGGTGAGACAAAGTATTCTCTCAGAGTGTCGCGAATGGACAAGGCTTCTGCTGTAGGCCTTGTACTTCTTGCTCGTGACAGGCTCCTCATGTTTTGGTGGTGGTCATCAATTGCATCATCATTATCACTACGAAAGTTCATGCTGTATTCATGGTGAATGAAATCATGAAGCACACAGATACTTTTAACTATTGCTTTAGATACCTCAGTGCTTGTTTCCATTGATGTTTTCAGTACACCAAATTTCTGAGTTAGCATTCCGAAAGCACATTCTACAGTTCTCCTAGCTCTACTCATCTTATAGTTGAATACCTTTCTAGAGTAATCTAGGTCCTTTCGAGGATATGGCCTCATTATATTGGGCTTTAAAGGGAAAGCTTCATCTATGAGATAGAATGGTACTTTGATATCAGTAGTAGGTATTTCACTAGGCTGTGTGATATCTAAATGACCAGAGAGAAATGACCTACCCATATTAGAGTTACTGAAGACTGCACTGTCACTATTTCGTCCATATGCCCCAACATCAATTAGAGTAAAACAACACTTGACATCAGCAATAATAGCCATTAATACAATAGAGTGATACTGTTCGTGATTATGAAAAAGTGAGCTTGCATTAGATGGGCATTTCAGCCGACAATGCTTGCCATCCACACTTCCGATACAGTTTGGAACATTACATTTATCGAAAAATGCTCTTGCTATCTCTTTCCACTGTTGATGATCAGGTACTGGCATACACTGTGGCTGTAATACCTCCCATACGGCATTACTTGTTTCCTTGACAATGTTATGCACTGTAGTCTTCCCAATGCGGAACTGGAACCCAAGGGAAGCAAAAGACACTCCAGTAGCAACATGTCTGGGAAAGAGAAAGAGAGAAACCCTCTATGAATAGGCCTTCTGTTTCCATGTTCTTTTATCATCACTGCTGTTGCCATTAAAGTAATAATAACTACTATTATGATCATCCTTCTAGTCACCATTATTATTTTTTCCACAGAATCCGATAAATGGATAAATGACATCAATTAAGGAGCAACTTTATGAGAGAAAAGAGGAAATTTACTACTCATACATCTGGATCAACTAGCATCAAAGCCAAGAAATGAGTATGCTATGATGCTATGGAATTCATCATACCCTATGTGACACCATGAGCCACATCATGTAATGTACCACCACCCCCTAATGAGAACATAAATTCTGAATTTGATATGGATGATGCTGCACCTGATGATACTTCATCAACTACTAATATCACGGATGCACCAGACAGTGTGCGTTCTGTACAAACAGCAACCAATGTTGACGTCTGTGAAGGAGGAAGTACGAGTAAGTCTACACCTGTTATCAAGCAGCCATCAGCTACAGCAAAGAAGCAAAATGCCTACAAAAGACGTCGCTGCGACCTTCCAAGTGATGTAGATGTGCAAATCGTGGGGGAGTTGCAAAAGGTGCGAGAACAAGCAGTTTGTAAAAATGAAAATGAATCTGACCCAGATCGCCTGTTCCTGTTAAGTCTTCTCCCTCTTATGAAACAATTGTCACCTATCGACAGTATTGACATTAAAATAGAAATACATCAGGCCTTTCGTAGAAAACTCGCCAAGGACCAAAACTCTAGCTAAGTTACTGGACTGGCCAACACCAACACCCATCTTATAATACACCATCACCGTATGCTAGTGATAGTGCTTCTTCTGAGTTGTGAAAGGTATCTTTTAACTTGGAGTAGGCTACATAACAGTTGTCACACATTAAAAAAAGGGACAATACATCCTACAGTTGCCAAATAAAAATATATAACCATATCTATAATGCTTTCTGTTGTTATTTTTTTAATATGCAGAATAATATTGCCTAGTACAGAAATTCCTTCTATAGATCAGTGCAATACATGTAATTTCTACTGTAATAGAAGCCTAATAGGTAAATATAAACTGTTAAACCTACCTTTGCATCCATTTCTGTAGCAATATTGTATCCATAACCAGAAATAAAGCATGTCTATATTTTTATATCATTTACAGCTACCTTAAAAAGTCGACCAATCCATTAGTGGGATTATTTTAAATTATACACTTACCTTAGGAAAATGGCCAGTCTTTCTTCAGGTCGAATTGCAACACGGTAATTGGATTGTTGACCAAATCTGGGAACAAATGTCCAAAGCTCCCAAATTCAGGTCTTCTAGAATTTATTGGATGCGCCCATATTCGTTGCCTCCGCCTCCGTCTACGCTTTCTCAGCCACAGCAACAATGCTATTTCTGCAACAGCAAAGACGTCCATACTCCTCGAAGGCTGCCTTGGTACTGAATGGTGTGTTAATCAGTTTCAGTCGGTTGGAACTATGCCGATTCAAAATGACTCTCCATGAATTGAATCGATTCGATTCGCTTGGTGTAAACTCGGCCTTAGGGAAAAAGAGGCCTCACCCTCCCATATATATATATATATATATATATATATATATATATATATATATATATATATATGGCCGTGTCGTAGACAGGCACACACACACACACACACACACACACACACACACACATATATATATATATATATATATATATATATATATATGTGTGTGTGTGTGTGTGTGTGTGTGTGTGTGTGTGTGTGTGTGTGTGCGTGTGTGTGTGTGTGTGTCGAATGGATTATTAATACTCCAGTTGTCACATAATTCATATACTTCATTAGAACTCACAAAATTTGAATGTAAATCTTCCTTCATCAAGTACGATACTCGACGGGAAAAGAAGAGAAAAGAAAAAAGGGGGAATCATAAACAGAAGAAATCATATCCATAATTAATGAAATAATCACATTTTTTTCATTTACTTTCATGGGAAGTAAGCCAACGACATAAAAGATAATAATAATAAAATGAAAATAGAAATAACAGAGGAGTCAGGAAACGATCGTTCCCCCCTCCGCTCAGGCGTGCGGACAAACGGTCGTATCGGCGACGCATTTTCTCAGATCGTTGTCGAAGACGTAGTTCCCCAAGCAAGTGTACTCGTGCTTGATCAGACTGCCTCCAGACGCAGGCTCGGTGCAGGTGTAATAACGCTGACAGTCGCAGAGTGGGTATGGGTACAAGCCGATCCCTTTGTCCGCACAAGTGGAGTCCTTACATGGGGCGGTCGTTGTAGGAGGTACTGTGGTTGGTGGTGCGGTGGTGGTCACGGGTTGTGTGGTGGTGGTGGTGATGGGTTGTGTCGTGGTGGTTGTGGTAGTTACGGGTGGTGTCGTGGTTGTGGTGGTTACGGGTGGTGTTGTGGTGGTTACGGGTGGTGTTGTAGTTACAGGTGGTGTTGTGGTGGTTACGGGTGGTGTTGTAGTAGTTACTGGTGGTGTTGTGGTGGTTACAGGTGGTGTTGTAGTTACGGGTGGTGTTGTGGTAGTTACAGGTGGTGTTGTGGTGGTGGTTACAGGTGGTGTTGTAGTGGTAGGCGGTGTTGTGGTTGTGGTTGGGGGTGTTGTCGTGGTAGTTGTGGTTGGGGGCGTTGTTGTCGTGGTAGTTGTGGTAGGCGGTGTTGTAGTGGTTGTGGTAGTTGGTGGCGTAGTCGTAGTAGTAGTAGTAGTTGCACCAGTGGTAGTCGTGAATGGATCTCCGTTGCAATCGATTCCAGGGCATGAAGGCGCCGCATTACCGCTGATGCAGAAGGCACACTCTCCCCCGCCAGATGGGATTTCCACGTACCCGAAGGAGCTGCACGTCACACTGCTGCAGTCTCCCCTGAAGTATAGAAAACGGAATCAGGGACTGTAATTCCTTCAATATTGTTATTATTATTATTATTACTACTACTACTATTGCTACTACTACTACTATTATTATCATTATTTTTTATCATTATTATTAGCAGTAGTATCATTATTATTAGTAGTATCATCATTATTATTATTATTATTATTATTATTATTTACATCTTGTGATATTAATTTATACTGTATATATATTTCATAGACGCCAGATAACCAAAGACTGGATTGGAATGTTTAATTTTGTACGATAAGACCTCTTTAACTGTCTGCTTTAGTCATGTAGCATTGACAAATAGAACTCAAACATTCAAACAACCACACAGTATATACCATGTCTACAAATAGGTAAAAGCTTGATGTAAAAGCTCTGTTGACCAATTTAACTTACACCCATAGTATCCGGAGGTGTTACGTTTGATGATGTTAATTCAGTACTTAAAACATCTACAACGGTATGTGGTATACGAGCCTAAACTTGTTAAATGCTACTATGCCTGATGATTTACCGTTATCTGGGCGAGGATTAATTACATCTGTTATCATATAATCTTTCTCTCTCTTTCTCTCTCTCTCTCTCTGTCTCTGTCTGTTTGTCTCTCTCTCTCTCTCTCTCTCTCTCTCTCTCTCTCTCTCTCTCTCTCTCTCTCTCTCTCTCTCTCTCTCTCTCTCTCTCTCCCTCTCTCTCTCTCTCTCCCTCTCTCTCTCTCTCTCTCTCTCCCTATCTCTCTCTCTCTCTCTCTTTCTCTGTCTCTGTCTGTTTGTCTGCCTCTCTCTCTCTCTCTCTCTCTCTCTCTCTCTCGCTCTCTCTCCCTCTCCCTCTCCCTCTCCCTCCCTCCTTCCCTCCCTCCCTCCTTCCCTCCCTCCCTCCTTCCCTCCTTCCCTCCTTCCCTCTCTCCCTCTCTCTCCCTCTCCCTCCCTCCCTCTCTCTCCCTCCCTCTCTCTCCCTCTCCCTCCCTCTCCCTCCCTCTCCCTTTCACCCTCCCTCTCCCTCCCCCTTTCTCCCTCTTACCTGTTATCACTGATCATAGAATATCACTATTATCAGTAGGTAATATGACGATAACGAACTATCAGTTAACTTTATTCACTGATAAAGAGATAGTTTCCTACCTGACAGCAGGGAAGACGCACAGTGAGGCAGTAGTTACGACCTGGAGAATAAGATTATTGTAATTGAAT